TTTTGTTTTGTGCTTGAGTTTCAATTATACAATGATCCAGTGCCCATCCCTCCACCAGTGCTCAAGAGAAATCTTTATTTGGAGTAACTTTATTTTTATTTATTTATTTTTTTGCTTTTGGGGTCACACCTGGTGATGCACAGGGGTTGCTCCTGCCTCTGCAATCAAGAATCATTCCTGGCGGAGCTCAGGGGACCAAATGGGATGCTGGGAGTCAAACCCGGGAATCGAACCGGGGTCAGCCACGTGCAAGGCAAACGCCCTACCCGCTGTGCTCCAGCCCCTGGAGTAACTTTAAAAGAGAGTCTGATACTCATTTTGGTATATAAGCTGGTATACATGCTACAGTTGGAATGACAGTGATTGACCTGGTTCCCGTACAAAGATGACACGCACTTTTGTGATGTTAAAATTCATTTATTTTTGTGTGCCCTAAACTGCAATGATTAAATTAAAATCTTTTGGGGTCAGGGAGACGGCTCAAGGCTGGCACGCACGCGGGGCGCACGGTTTGCTGAATTGGGGCGTGGCTCCAGGTTGGCCCGGGCGTGTGCGGATTGGCGTCCGCTCTGCCCTCTGGTGGCTGTCCTGGGCCTAGCGGGCTGCGTGCAAAATTTCCGGAAACCGGGGCAGGGGCCTCAGCTCATTTACATACCCAGCATGCACTGCACAAAAGCTATACTTTTTTTATACCTAAAACCAGCCAAATTCTTTTTATATCTACAAAATTTCCCCCTCGAACATGAGCCTAATCTAATAAAATTATCTGGGGGAAAAGAAAAAATCATTAGCTCTTTCGGTCAAATTGTTACCATTGCTGTTCTAGGAGCTTCGGTTACTCCAGGACTGTGCGTGCAGCCAGCAGAAGCATACTCTGGTTTCTCTTCAGATCGTATAAATCTTTCGCCTTTTACTAAAGATTTCCGTGGAGAGGAACAATTCTGAGTTTTTACCCAATTTTTTGAGGCCTTGCTTCTGCAGGGCTAATAATGTTGTTCAAAAGCAGAAGTATTAAGATACAGGCGTCTGCTGGGGCTTCGACTTCCGTGCTTTACCATATGTCAAATTTGTTTCCTGATAGATCATTTTCTCTTAGCTCTTTTGGCTGTGTGCTCTAGTTATTTATTTATTTTTTTGCTCTTTAGCTGTATGCATTTGTTCTTACTAATATTTGGGTCTACGGTGGTTACTTCTGGTGTTTTCTCGGGGGGTCTGAACCGGATTGTCTACGTACAAAGCTAAGCGGTCCACTTTCTCAGTTTGTGCAGCTCTCAGTCCCGAGGTTACTGTATCTTGGAACGTGGGCCCCTTTCCTGCATGCGCCTGACCCGGTTCGGGTTCCCCCGAGCCCGTCAAGGACCATCTGACCGCACTAGGTCCGGCGGGTCAACCGTGAGCACAGCCTGGTGGAACTCCCGTGACAACGAATCTTAACAGATTTGTTAAGGGGAAATTGTCGGTGACTTGGGCCCTTCCCCTAGAAGGGAAATTGTCAGGATTCTCTCTGGTTTTAGTTGCTATGTGGATGCTCTGTAATCCTGAGCTCTGAATTCTCCTTGAAACTTGGGGTTCCGCCCCTCTGTGAAGTGAAGGACCTGGCAACCACAAAGCTAATTACTTAAATGACGAAAGAGGTCAGAAAAAGGGAGAAAGGGGTCAGAAGCAGCCCTGGGAGAAGCGGTGCTTGCCTTGTACATAGCGGGTCTGTCTGTGTTTGGTCTTCAGTTCGATGGTTCCCCAAAGCCCTGCCAGGTGTGACTTTTCAAAACCAAGATATACGGGGAAGGAGATGCTACCTTTTGGGGACCAATGATGGTCTTAATGAGTTTTAATGTGTGCTCTTTTAAATGGCATGATTGAGTTAGAGGTTTTGTGTATTTTGAGGTGCTTGAGGACCAAACTTGGGGCTGATGAGAGCTGCCTTCTCACCTCTGTATTGTCGGGCTTTGCTCTTTAATTTTTTTCTGTTGCTGCTGAAATCAATCAGCAAACTCAAGGACCTAGAATTCTAACGACTGTCTTAGAATGCTGGAGGTTAGAAGTCCAACGTCAAGGTGTTGGTGCGTTGGCATTCCTTACAGAAGCTTCAGGGCACAATATTTCTTTGCCTTTTTTTTTTGGCCCAGTGGGGGGTAATGTGAGTGGGGACTCACCACACCCAGAAATGTTCAGCGGTTGGTCACCCCTGCACTCAGGAATGACTCCTGGCAGTGCTCAGGGGACTGTTTGGGCTGCTGAGGATCGAACATGTGTGGGTGGTCGGCTGTGTGCAAGGCAAACATCCCACCTGCTGTGCTATCTATCCAGCCCTTAAAAAGAAGCTAAAGAGAGCTTCTCTTCACCTTTTTTCAGTTTCTAGGAGTTCTCTGCATTTGTTGGCTTGTGACACACAGCTGGGTGTGACCCCAAAACAGAGAAGAAGAAATAAAGCCCCAGACCTGGGCTTCCTGCGGGCAGGGCATGTGCTTGCTTGCGGTCCACTGAGCTAGAATCTAGCCTCTGAAGATTCACATTTAAAATTATGTTGTTTGGATTAAAATGAGATCGCCTTTGATAAGTGGTCTACAATTTTTTTTTCAATTATTAAGTTTCCCCAACGTTCTTGGCACTGAATTTTGCTTGCCATCATTTTACAAAGAAAGCCATTATTCTACAAAAGTTCTGAAAAGACTTTTCCCCCCCTTTGGTTTTGCGCCACACCCGAAGGTGATAAGGGCTTACTTCTGGCCCTAACGACTGTCTTAGGATGCTGGAGGTTAGAAGTCCAACATCAAGGTGTTAGTGCGTTGGCATTCTTTACAGAAGCTTCAGGGCACAATATTTCTTTGCCCCCTTTTTCTTTTTTGCAGGGGGGAGGGTAATGTGGGTTTTTACTATGTGCTCAGTATCACTCTTGGTGAGGTTCATGGGACCATTTGGGGCGCTGGGGATCGAACCCGAGTCAGCCACATGCAAGCAAGTGCCCTACTTTCCAAGTACTACCTTTCCAAGTACTACCTTTCCAAGGAGGCTTGGGTCCTACCCGCCACACCACATGACTCCTGTGCACCTTTGTGAGTGACCCTCAGCATCCAAACGAAAAATAGCAAAAAAACGATTTAGTGGTCCCCTGGTTAAGCTCAGAGATCAAGCACCTGCCTCACATACGCTAGACCCTGGGCTTAGTTCAGGCTTTGCAAAAAGTCTAAGAACAAACGTGCTAGAGTGCCCTCTTGTGGCTCCCCAGTGAATTACTTCCCGCTCACTCCATTCCCAGTCATTCCGGGGGGGGGGGGCCGGTTCTTTTGCAATTCTTCAGTCATTCAGGCAAGCATGTCAGGGGCTGTTCTCAATTTCAGTTTTTTTGTTTTGTTTTGGCAACACCTGGAAACACTCAGGTTGCTCCTGGCTCTGCACTTAGGAATCGCTCTTACTGGTGGTGCTTGAGGGACCATATGGGACGGCAGGGAATTGAATCAGGGGTGACTGTGCGCAAGGCCAGTGTCCTAGCCACTTTACTATCTCTCTGGTCCTAGTCTCAGTTTTTAGAATATATATGTTTGGAATGCTAGCCACTATACCACCAACGCAGCGGTAGGGCGTTTGCCTTGCACGCAGCCCACATGGCCGACCCGAGTTCGATTCCTCCGCCCCTCTCGGAGAGCCCGGCAAGCTACCGAGAGTATCTCGCCCGCACGGCAGGGCCTGGTAAGCTCCCCGTGACGTATTCGATATGCCAGACACAGTAACAACAAAGTCTCCAATGGAGACGTTACTGGGCCCGCTCGAGCAAATCGATGATCAACGGGAGGGCCTTTACCTTTCCTTATATACCTTTCTTTCCTGGAATATCAGGAAAGAAAATATGCCGGCCAGAGTGGAGCTTACATTCAGGTAGAGAGACGGTTAATCAAGCAGTAACAGAGATACTGTTTGGTGGTTAGAGAACTGGCAGTTTCGGTCGCTTAAAAAAAAAAAAATAAAAAAGTGGGTCCACAGAGATAATATAACAGGTAGAGTACCTGCCTCACACATGACCCAGGTGTGATCCCCTGGACCCCAGATGATCATGCCCACTGCCAGGTGTGATCACTGAGCTAAGAGCCAGCGGTGAGCCCTGAGCACAATTGGGTGTGGTCCCACAAAAAAAAAAAGAAAAGAAAAGAAAAAAGGAAAAAGTAGGCCTCATTGAAAAGGAAGGTTTCCCTCCTCCCCCCTTCTTCGGAAACACCCAGTCAGTGATAGGAAAGGGGGGGGTATGAAGTGGGGTGCACAGTGCACCCTGCGCAGAGCTTGGGGGAGGTGCTCAGAGGCCTGTGCAGGCTGGTATCCATGTGCTCCCTCCCAGGTGCTAAGATGGCTTTTGTAAAGAAGGGAGAGGATGTGAGGAAAGGGAAGGGGCAGGGAGCAGAGGAACAGTAAGAGCCGATGGCCACAGAGGAGCGCGCTAGCTCTGGAGGCCGAGACAGATGGGGGGCTCTGGTCTGTGGGAAGGTGGGGAGCACCGCCTGCCGCCTGTGGGGCTTCAGGGGCGGGGCGGAGCCTGTGCTGAGGGCAGTGAGGACGAGCAGGTGGAGGGGGGGCACATGGTCAGGAGCTCTTTGAGACACGATGAGATGAAAATGCTTAGCTGGAAAGAGAAACGTAGACGTCACAAGCTGGAAACAGTATTCCCCAGCCTGGGACTGGACGGCAGTGCCAGGGGTGCAGACAGAGGGGAGGCTCAGGGTCTCCTGCCTTGCTCCAGTTTGAAGGGAACTGTGTTGAAGGGGAAGAATCGGCAAAAGAGGATGAGAGGAAGCTACCAGGACCGCAGGGAAGCACCAGGTCCTAGAGGGGAACAGGGTCAGAGCTTCCAGGACCTCCCCTATGTCCCTGTCCAGCCTGGCTGAGGGCAGACGCTCAGCCCACGGCCTGCTCTCCTTTCGGCTCCCTTCCCCTGCATGCAGCCGAGAGGGCACAGCTTTCACCGTTTATTGGCGGTTCCCAGCCAGCAACGCTCCCTCTGCCCCTCTTGGCGTCCGTCGTCCAACTCTCGGCCTGGGCAGAGGCACCCTGGTGGAGCTTCTGCAACGCTCCCCGGTGACCTCGGGCGCTCACGCATCAGCGTCAGCCCCGTCCTCCGAAGCGAAGTGGACCAAGTAGCCCGTGGGGTTTTGCTCCTGAGAGTCGGAAGTGAGGCTGGCGAGCTGCAGGTCTGCAAACCGGGACGGCGCGCCTGAGCCTGGGCCCGCAGGCCCTCCGCGGGCACCGGGGCCCTCCCCTGGCCCCCTGGCCCCACTCACCTTTGGTGACATTGACTTTGTTGGCCAGCAAGATGTCCGTCTGAATGCTGTCTATGTGCGCGTACAGCTCCTCGGGGTTGCTCTGCGGGTAGGAGCGAGGGAAAGCTGCGGCTGGGGAGGGTTGGGTGGAGGGGCTGGGTGCAGGGTCCACCCCGGGGCGGGGAGAGAAGGTGGGCGCAGGGTCCATCAGGTGCAGCAGGGCAGCAGACCGGGCCTCGTGGGTGGACACTCACCCGGAAGAGCTGGTAGAGTTCCTCCCCCATAGCCTTGTGCACTTGCTCGTCCACGGCCGGGAACACCTGCACGAAGTACTGCGGGCCAGGCGGGGTGGGCCTTGTGCCCGCCGAGCCCGCCCCACCCCCCACTCACCTCCAGCGCCAGGCTGGCTTGCCGCTGGCTGTTGCAGTGGTCCCGGTTGCCCATGGCGACCATCAGGCTGTGCACCACGCCCAGACTCAGCATCTCCTCGGCCAGGCTGGTGTTGTGCTGCGCCAGGACCCTGGGCGAGGGGCAGGGGTCCCGGCTGCAGCGGCCTGCGGGCGGGGCGCGCCCCTCTCGCTCTCTCCCGGCGCCCCCGTGGGCAGTGCCACCCTGGGGACTGACCTGATGGTCTTGGCGGCTGCAGCCTGCTGCAAGAACACGGGCAGCTGGGAGGTGAACTGGAGAATGGACTGGTCTGTGGAGCAGGCGGCGGTCAGCCAGGGGGGCCCTCGCTCGAGCTTAGGCCCGCGCACCCCCATCAGCGAGCCGCCTACCGCTGAGGATCCCGTACTGCTGTTTGTGGGTCTCTTTCACGTCTGGTATCAGCAGCTCCACGAGGCTTTGGAGCAGCGCGGTGGACACTTCGTAACTGACCAGGTCCTTGATCAGCTCGATGGCTGCGGAAGGGCAGGACGCTGTGGGGTCCACTGGCGAGGAGACTTTCACGGGCTAGCCCTGTGCAAGGGGGATGGGGCACCCCTCTCCCATGCGCCCCCCATTCCTGCCGGTGATGCCGTAGGAGGCAGGGTCAGCCGCCTGGCTGGGAGGCTCAGAGGCCCCGCAGAGGGGACTGGCTGCCCCGGCTGGACCAGGGAAGTGAGCCAAGGTTGGAGAACAAGGCGGCAGGGAGGGAGACAGAGGAACCGGGTGGAAGCAAGGTGGGCATCTGTTCAAGGACCTTATTTCCCACCACCAGCCATTAGGGAGCCATTCTCCGCCTTGTCCAAAGCCCCGGAGGCTCCCTGCAGGCCCCACAAAAGTGCCAGCAGCTCGGAGACTCCCTGTGGAATAACACTACTGTGAACATTGCCTAGGACCCTGAGGGCACAGCGGGGAGAGGCACCGCCCTTGGGGTGGGTGGAAGAAAAAGGAAGGCGAGATCCAGTCAGGGAGGAGCAGGAACTCAGGGGGCACAGGGGACTTCTGGTGATACGTTCCAGACATTCATTCATTCGGCATTCACTCTGCCTGTCTTCTTCTTCTTTTTTTCGCTTTTTGGGTCACACCCGGCGTTGCACAGGGGTTCCTCCTGGCTCATGCACTCAGGAATTACTCCTGACAGTGCTCGGGGGACCACATGGGATGCAGGGAATCGAACCTGGGTCGGCCGTGTGCAAGGCAAAGGCCCTACCTGCTGTGCTATCGTTCTAGCCCCTCTGCCTGTCTTCTGACAGAGGTCTAGAGTGCCAGCCCACAGCACCCACGAACTCTAGAAAAAGAGGAGGCTGGCAGTTCTGGGGACCCTGGGTCACTCTAAGCGGTGCTCAGGGGTTCCATGGTGCCTGGGGTTCACCCCAGCTTGCAACAGCTGAAACACCTTCTTGTTCATTTGTACACCAGGATGCAACGTACACATTGCCAACAGTACCACTGTACAAGTACCAACAGTATCTGTTTCAATAGGAAAATGAGCCTTTGGGAGCAGAGAAATAGGAGACTGGGTAAGGTGCTGCCTTTCACTCAGCTGACGCGGGTTCGATTCCTGATACCTCCTCTGGCTCCTCCAGCACTGCCAGTGGTGATGATCCATGAGCACAGAGCCAGAAGTAAGCCCTGAGCACTGCTGGGTGTGAGGCTCACCCCACACCCCAACCCCCACCCCCACCCCCCAATAAAAAAGAAAGAAAAATTAACCCCAATGGTTAGGAGAGGTTATCTAGCAAAAGTATGGCTGAAATAATTCTCACCAATGGAAGAAAAGCTACTGTGGGCTGCTGCAAAGCTCTAAAGTGTGTGTGTGTGTGTGTGTGTGTGTGTGTGTGTGTTTGGGGGGGCGCTGGAGAGATAGCACAGCGGGTAGGGCGTTTGCCTTGCACGCGGCCGACCAGGTTCGATTCCCAGCATCCCATATGGTCCCCTGAGCACCGCCTGGGGTAACTCCTGAGTGCAGAGCCAGGAGTAACTCCTGTGCATCTCCAGGTGTGACCCAAAAAGCAAAAAAAAAAAAAAAAAAGAAAAAAATGAAAAATAAAGTGCAGGGGGATGAGCAGCATCTGAGAAGACCACACAGCAGGCTCAGACGGCGTTTGTCCCTCTAGTGTGAAAATATCACATGCCTTTTGCTAAGGATTTCCAGAAAGAGACATTTTGGAAATTGGTAGTGGAGTTGTGAGATCTCACTGAAGGCCCAACCTTTGTTGTAAAACAGCTCTTCAACTTGGGCTCCAAGTTAGACCCTCTCTGGTCAAGAGGCACGATTCATTTCTTCCTTTGAAGTTCAGTGTGGATGGCATCTTAAAAAATGTATCGTACTGGGGCTGGAGTGATAGTGCAGTGGGTCGGGCGTGTGCCTTGCATGCAGCTGACCGGGGTTCAATCCCCAGTATTCCATGTGGTCCCCCAAGCACGGGAATGTAATTCCTGCGTGCAGAGCCAGGAGTAACTCCCGAGCATCACCGGGTGTGGTCCCCAAGCAAGCCAAGACCAAAGTTTTATACTCTTTGGTAACAGTACCACAAGGAAGTGCTTAAAAGGAAAAAAGAGTGGGTAGAGGAGGTTGCTAAGGACAAGCTGGGTGGGGGACAGGAGGGAAACTGAGGACACTGGAGGCGGGAAAGTATACTGGTGAGGGGATGGGTATTGGAAGATTCCAATGAAACTCCGTCATGAACAAGTGTATATCTCATGGTGATTCAATTAAAAAACAAGGGAAAATTCTTTTGTGAGGCGAGAGAGAGAGAGAGAGAGAGAGAGAGAGAGAGAGAGTGTACAGTGGGTAGGACGGCTTGCCCTGCATACTGCCATTCCAAGTTCAATCCTTGGAACTACATATGGTCCCCTGAGCCTGCCAAGAGCACCACTGCATGTGATCCCCAAACCAAAAAATAAACAGAAGATGGAGGAGGAGGAGGAGGAGGAGGAGGAGACGATGACAGAGAAGAAGAAGAAGAAGAAGAAGAAGAAGAAGAAGAAGAAGAAGAAGAAGAAGAAGAGGAAGAGGAAGAGGAAGAGGAAGAGGAAGAGGAAGAAAGAAGAAAGAAATCCCTGAGATTTTGCCCAAAGAACTGAGTTTTTCATGGGGTGGGTGAGGGAGTTGGGAGAGTGGGGAAGGGGCCATGGTGGAGGTGGAGGGATCTTGGCATTCTGGTGGGTGTGGAGAAGAAATATCGTATGCTTAAAAGTTAAATCATAATACTATTAATAGTAATAATCATAGGAAAGAGTAAGCAAGGGAACCGTCAGCCTTGAGGGTGTGGGTGGTTCTGAACCACCTTCGCTCCTGTTCAAGACCACAGGCCCGTACGTTGACTTGATGCCAGCTTTCTCCTGACTTGCTCTAGCCTTTAGGGGCTTGAGCTCTGGGGTACCAGGAGCGGTAACGCCAGGCCAGAACTCTCCACGAGGCCTGGCCGGGTACCAGTCCCTCCCTTGCCTCTTTTTGGTCTTGGCCACCCCCTGCGGTGTTCCGGGTTTACTCCTGACTTTGTGCTCAGGGATCACAGGCTCTTGGTCACTCGGGGGACCATAAGTTGCTGTGATGAGACAAGAGTTGACAGAGCCCTGCATTCTCCTAGGCCAAAGTCCACTGGGTGCTGGCAGGGTGCTCTGTGCTCGGCAGCCTGGTGTGGAGGACCGAGGGGAGGCTGTGCCCTGTGGCCGGCCTTCACACTGAGCCATGGCACTGCCCTGCCTCTGATGCTTCTAGAAGCTGGAGGGCCAGCCCTGCCAAAGCTCCGCCCCCCTAAACCTGGACAAAGCTTTTTTCCTATTTTTGGCTTTTTGGGGTCACACCCGTTGATTGATGCTCAGGGGTTACTCCTGGCTCTGCACACGGGAATCACTCCTGGCGGTGCTTGGGGGGCCGTATGGGATGCTGGGGATCGAACCTGGGACGGCTGCGTGCACGGCAAATGCCCTACCCGCTGTACCATTCTTTTGTCCCCGCCCCTTTTCTTTTAGAAGACAGTTTCAGGGACACAACCCGAGGCCTCACACACGCAAGGCAAGGGCTGTATCGCCAGCCACATGCTGGTCGTGTTGGTTTGGCCGGCAGTGCCCTGTTGGTGCTTGTGAAACTTCACCCTCTTGTGCAGCTGGGCAGCCTGGGGTTTGCACCCAGCTGGGCTCCTCTGACCCAACCAGACAGAGCCTTGCAGCTAAGGCGCAGCTCTCAGTACCAGCTGGCTCTGTCCAGGCCCGGGCGTGCCAGGAGCGCCTGGGAAGGATGCCCGCTGTGCACCCGGGAAGCCTTCCTGCGACTGGCAGTGCCGGGGAGGTGCCGGGTGGGAGGGAGCGGGCGGAGGCCCTTCGGAGCAGCCCCGAGCACTCTGGCTGGCATAGCTTCTGCCCGTCCTGTCCCTTCAGACCCCACGCTTGTTGCCTCACGGCTGGCCGGGCCGCCTTGCATGGCGCCCTGGGGGGAAATGAAGATTCAGCCATCGAATCATTTCTGTTGGCGGTTTAAAACTTCACAGCTGCCACTGTTTCCCCCAGAGCCAAAATGCTAGTCTCTGCCCAAATGTCCCCCAGCAGCCGGCCAGGCCTGGCCCGGAGGCTTGTTCAGAAGGCAGGAAGCGATGGGAACGGGCACTGTCTCTCCTGCTTCCTGCTGAGGGTCTTCTCTGGGCCGAGCCCCAGGTGCGAGGGCTACGAGAGTGCAAGCCCAGCCCTACAGCCTGGCAGGCTCAGAGGACCACACGGGGTGCTGGAGATCCAACCAGGGTCAGCCGTGAGCAAGGCAAGCACCTACCTGCTGTCCTATCACTCCAGCCTCACATTGAAATTTTTTTATCCTTTTTGAGTCATATCCGGTGATGCGCAGGGGTTAGTCCTGGCTCTGCACTCAGGAATCATACCTGGAAGTGCTCAGGGGACCCTATGGGATGCTGGGAATCAAACCCAGGTCGTCTGCTTGCAAGGCAAGCGCTCTACCTGCTGTGCTATCGCTCCAGAATTATTTTTTTTTCTTTTTGGGTCACACTCGCCTGTGCACAGGGGTTACTCCTGGCTCACGCACTCAGGAATTACTCCTGGTGGTGCTCGGGGGACTTCTTGGATGCGGGGAATCAAACCCGGGTCATCCGCGTGCAAGGAAAACACCCTACCTGCTGTGCTATCGCTCCAACTCCACACATTGAATTCTTGAGAAAGGGGCGAAAAAGGAAGAGTGGACAGAGCCCTCTCACCAGGAACACCCCCGGTGCCTTGATATCCAAGTTTTGGGGAGTGGCCCCTGGAATAATAAACATACAACAATAAAACTTGAACACAGAGCTGTCTCATCCTCCTCTCTCTGAGGGGCTCACACAGCACGTGACGCCCCCCTGTTCCCCTAAGCCTCTTGCTTGACCCGAAGAGCTCCTAGGAAATTAAAGGATCGCTCACTCCAGCTCCACTTAGCCATCTGTGCTGAAATATGAAGGTTTTTTTTTTTTGACCACACCTGGCAATTCTCAGG